ATTTGTAAGAAAGTTTTCTGGCATTAAGTGCATTCACAGTGTTACATAATCATTGGTACTCTTTCCAGAAATTTTTCGTCATTCCCTAAGAAACCTCTTCATATCCATTAAATAACTTCCCCTCTCCCTCCTCCTTCCTGCAGTGATAACTGTCATCTTCACTTCTGTTTCTGAATCACCTATTGTAGTGGAATCCGATACATGGAATCCCATAGTCATTATCCTTCTGTGTCTGATTTAGTTCATGAATCGTGTTTTCAACGTCCGTCCATGTTGTTGTGTATGGGATGTGATGAAAGTGAGGTGAATTTTTAAATTAAAAAATGTGTTACAGTAAAAGAGACATCACCGTGAACCCCCTCACAACACCCTCCCTCGCTGAGGACACGTCCCGTCACTCCGGCCACTTTAGGAAGCAGTTCTGAAGGTGTTTTTTTCACGAGTGTCTTTATTTGTGCTGTGATAGCTCCCTCGATGTCCTGAATAAATTCAAAACATTTACCTTTCGTCGCCATTCAGACTTTGGGAAAGAGCCAGAAGTTGCATTGTGCCAGATCTGGTGAATAAGACGAATGAGGACACACTGTCACATTTTTATTGGACAGAAATTGCTGTATCAGAATCAGCGTAAAGCACAGTGGAGGACAAAACCACTTGCCCATTTCTGCTTCCACATATATCATTCCTGTCAAATAAAAAATGTTATGGCAAAGGTAACTATTTGGAGTTGATTCAAGACATAGAGGGAGCCATGACTGTACAACTAAAGTCATTCATGAAAGAAGACACCCGGAACTGCTCCAGAAAGCGATGGGATGTGTGCACAGAGTAGAGCTGCTGGGTCATAAGACAACCTGGTATTATTTCCACCATCATTTTCTGTTGTGTCTGTACCATTTTACACTCCCTCCAGCAATGCAGAGGGTTCCAATCTCTCCGTGTCGGTCAAGGACTGAGAAGAAGCTCCAGTCTAGCTAGATCAAACATAGTGTCTACTTCTGCTATTGAGATGGCCACATTTTCACTCAAATGTGCACCACGTATGAGATAAATCTCCAGGTACATTTACCTCTGTGACCTGTTCTTGATGGGCTAGCTGAGCAGGGTGCGAGAACTGAGCATGACTCCAAGGTCCAGGGTGGATCTGTCCCAGTATGGAAGTCTGATGGCTTTCTGGACCCCTACAATACTCTCGTGAAAGAGGGGTAATAAAAAAATACTTTGTGAGACTGTCGTCGAATGCAAATGAGAGGATATATGCAAATGAGCACACGAATATGCTGATTCCTTCCAAGTCTCTATTCCTGTCACCTCCTCTTCTTGGGACCTGTGGGCTCCAGGGCTGCATACCGATGTCTCTTACTTGGCCTCTGCGTTTGAGTGTACAGTGGACATCTGCTGCCCGTGTCCACGGCTGAGCTCCCATACACCATGACCCAGCCATTCTGCCTCTTACTGGCTAGTGGTGTCTCCATCCTTTGTGTCATTGTGGACTAGCCCCCTTCTCTCCAACACTGAGCCTGTGAACAAGTGCAGTCACTCTCACTGGGAAATGTATTCAGAATTTGACCATTCTCACCCATCCCATGATTCTCCTGGTTCAACTCACACCCTCTTCTACTTGGATCATGGCAACAGCTCCCGAGCAGACCCTCCACTTGGGGCCCTGAGTTCCTATCATCTTCTCTTCTACTGCCCAGCTCTCCTCCTCTTCCCTGAATGTCTTCGGGGCCTCAGTGCTTGTGGTTTCCTCTGCCTCACTTAGCCACATGGCTGACTTCTCATGTCCTCCAAGTCTTCACCAAAAATCTGCAGCATCAGGAAGGCCGTCCCAAGGTTCACTCTGTCACACGGCAGTACCTGCCCGCAATAGGTCGTTCCCCTTCCTTGCTTTGCATTTCTCCTTAGTGTTTACCACTAACCTTCCCTATATTTTGTTTAATTATGTCACTCATTATCCCTCTTTCCTGTTAGTGAAAATCAAATATGAAGGCCTCTGCCACAGCGCCCTTGCTCTGTGAGGGCAGTGATTTTTGTCTGTTTGGTTAATTTTGTATCTCAGTGCTACAGCACGGCCTGGCATGTGGTAGGCACTTAAGAAATTTGTTAGTGCAGCATTTTCCAGAAGAGAAATCTGAGGCTCAGCGCAATTAAATAATCCAGTCAAGGTCACACAACTAGGAAGTAGCTGAGTTGGGGAGTTAGATGTTCTGTGATGCTTCACAACATAAAGCACCCATTTGGTAAAGAGATAGGGCAAGAGTAATGGCCCCCTCTGGCCCTCCTCTTGGCACCAGCTGAAGCAAAGAAGTATTCTCCACGAGGTAGATCCAGTGCTGGAGGACTTGGTGGAGGTTTTCTGTGGCCCCTTGATAAAGGAATTGGTATTTGGGGTCACTAAGCAGGGAAGCTGTGGGGTGCTGGGTGGGAGGCTAAGAGGTCAGCGCCCTGGTTAAGTGGAAACCAGCTGTCAGGCATTCATCCATTCACCTGCGCACTCGGGAGGAATCCTTGCCGAGTACCAGGAGAAGCAACCCAACAGCAGTGCTGTAATTTGACCTCCTGCCTCTTTGTGGGATCTTTTTTTGTTGATCTTTTTTTTCCTTTTTTCTATTTTTTAAGCATCTTTTTTTGCAAAATATGGTGTTGCACGCCTGTAATGCCAGCAGTTGGAAGCTGAGACAGGAGGATTGCAAGCTTGAGCTATATAGTGAATTCAAGACTAGCCTGAAATGAAATACATAATGAGATCCTGTCTCACTAAAAAGAATATCTGTTGTGAGGAGGAGGGGATTTGGCTGGCCTGTGGTTGTGCTGGCCAGTGGAGCCCAGACTTTCTCTGTCACACTGGAAGCCACGTTGCAGGCACCCGCCCTTCTCAGTGACCCAGTTCCCTTGATGGAGTGGTGCCAAGGCCAACAGGTGGCTCCCAGACTGTCCTGAGGGAGGAGGCAGCGCAGGGCTGCGGTGGGAGTCCTGAGGCCTCAGTCACATCAAGGAGGCCATCGCCAGGATCAGGCAGGAGAGCAGCTGGTGTGCAGCCTCAGTCCTCCCCGAAAGCCATGGCGTTGAAGGCTAGAGGTTCTGCCTGAGGTAGCTGGAGGGTTAGACCAGGGAGAGCCATGGCACACTTAGCCCTCTGGCCTGCACAGAGCCGGCTTTCTCGGCAGGTTCTTTCTGTTACTTCTCAGGAGTCATGTCAGGGTCAGGGTCGTGACACAGAACAGGACTAGCAGAGGCTACATGGAAAGGCCCAGTGGTGACCAGAGTGCGGAAGGAAGGGAAGGAGTGCCTGGAGCGGCACTGTGCCTCCTGTCAGCCATATCAAGCTGCTTTCTTCCCTCCAAAGGGGGCAAAAGAGGAGTAGCAGCAGCCCCTGGCTCCGGGCTCCCTGTGCCCTTTCCTCAGAGGCCCTGCCCTCTCACACACTCACCCTGTCCCCAGGCCTGTGGTACATGGCCGGGTGCTCCCCTACCCACCCCACACCCTTTGCAGCTGTGCTCCAACCCCGGCTGTGGCCCTTTTTGGGCATGACTTTTGCCCACAAGTTTACCCTCCCAGGGTCCCTGAGGCCCATGGCTGCATGAAGTGGGGATACCATTCACGTGGGGGAACTCTTAGGTGTCCAGCCCAGAGTAACCCCCTGGAGGCTCCAAAGCCCACTGTGGGTAAGCGTAGCCCTCTGCCCCTTGCAGCTTCACTCCCCACCTTACAGATGGCTCTCAAAGTGCTCCCCAAAAGGCTCTGCACATGAGCCTGGGGAACCCCCTCGAAGACCACAAGTCAGCCCACTCCTCTGACCTCCTAGGTGCCCGGTACTCACGGAAGCACAGCCATCCTGTCTATCCCAGTGCCCAGTGTGTTACTATGCTGTCTAATAAAAACAATACGCTGCCAAAAATGGTGATGATGGGGACCAACACTTCTGTGCCGCTAATGAGCCACAAAGCACACTGACGTGCATGGTTTCGTTTGTGCGCAGGGCAGCATGATGGAATGCTGCCTGAGTTCGAATTTGGGGCCTACCCCTAATTAGTCGTGTGACTTCAGACCTGCCAGCTGCGTAGCCCTTCTCCTTTTCATCTCTAAAATGGAAATGACAATGAGCCCTTCCTGGGAAAGCTTTAAATGACTCGGTACATGTAAGGTATACAAATAGCCCTGCCACATGGTAGGTTCTCAGTGAGGGTTAGCAGCTGCTCGGGCCAGAAATCTAACTAGCAACGGTTAGCTTTTTAATTGTTACTTTTACGTAGCTGCGCCTGTGTCTACACTCACTGTTTATTTTTTATGCTGGCTTAAACGTAATCTCTGATGGGCAGAGAACATTTTTTTTTAAGTGGAAGGTTGCCTCTCTTTTTACCAAGCTTGGTTAGTAGAGCAATAAAGAATAAAATAAAAGATAAATAATAAGAAATAGGGAGATGGATCTTTTACAAAGGGAAGGGGACCAAGAGATGGAGGAAGAGGGAAGAGAAGACAGGGGAAAGGGAAAAAAAAGGATTAAGATGTGTTGCATACAGGTATCACTTCCTCACAAGGAATGCGATCCTTATATACTGCAAACATGTACCAATAAAAATTAAAGTTAAAAAGAAGAAAATGACTGAAGTTGACTGGCTGGTGAAATCACTGTTGGACCTACCTCATATTTTTGGCTTTAGGACAGATGACTCTCTAAGACACCCAGGTTTAGCCACCACAGTGTTGATTTTCATGGAAATTCTTCTTACCCGTGCCGCCGGGCTGGCCACTTCCCGTAGCAGTCTGTGCATCCCAGTTCTCACGTGTGTGAAGGCCCTGCCAGGCCTTTGTAGTTCGTGCAGGCATCTGTCCGCACAGAGGGACACTCGGCACAGCTCTCCTTACGTAGAAAGGGCCGACGGGCCTGAGTGGCACAGATCTCTCCTTGGTCCTCTTTCCTCTTCCCCACTCGCCCGCCGTGTCCCCCACCCTTCATCAGCTGTGCAGCGATGACAAATACCCTGCCTGCCTCACAGGTACTACAAGACCTCCGTGGTGCTCATGTGTTTCCTGGTCCCCACGCTGGTGCCCTGGTACATCTGGGGAGAGAGCCTGTGGAATTCCTACTTCCTGGCTGCCATTCTCCGTTACGCCGTTGCCCTCAATGGCACCTGGCTGGTCAACAGTGTCGCCCACATGTACGGAAACCGGCCCTACGACAGGCACATCAGCCCCCGGCAGAACCCACTCGTCACTCTGGGCGCCATTGGTGAGTAGGGGCCAGGAAGCCGAGGGAGGGAAGGGCAGCCCCGATCTTATGGACTTCTGAGTGGTGTGTGGGATCTGCAGAGAGGGAGTGGAATGGAGCCGACGTGGACGAGTCTTGTGATTGCTTTGATCTTACCTGTGAAGTGGAAAATAGCAACACCTACTTCATAGGATTACAAGGTGCAATAAAAAGTGCAGTGAGTGATTATTTTTATTTTATTTTTATTTGTATTACAGAAAAAGAGACATTGCCATTACCCGCACCCCCATACTACCCCTTGCTTCAAACACACTTACTCGCTCATTCTTCCGGAAGCAGTTCTGCGAGTCCTTTTTCGTGTCTTTAGTTGCACTGTTGTGGCTGTGTCAATGTCCCGATTTGATCCAAAACATCCACCTTTCATGGTCATTTTGACTTTGGGGAGGAGCCAGCGGTCCCACGGTAGCAGGTCTGGTGAAAAAGGTGTGTGAGGAGGGACTACGTATGAATGAGCCTGCCTTTCCATTGGGTGGCACTCAGCAGCAGCAGTATTCATTGTATTTTTTTTTAATTGAGTTTATTGGTACATTCAGGGATACAGTACAGTTACATTCATTGTTGGGATCATGTACCTTTACATGACAAGTCTTGATTCTCATTTTTTTCCCCTTACCCCTGCCCTCCCTTCACCCCCTCCTCCCCTCCCCATCTACAAACACTTTATTTTCATCTTTTCATTCTCTCACATTTTTTTCTTTTCCCTTTTTGTTCTTCCCCTACGTATCACACCTTCCCTACACCTTTAGCTCCTTTCCTCCCATTTCTAAATGTCAGTAATCTTATTAGAATCTTATGCATTGTTGCAGAATATTCACACCAGGGAAACTATTTGGTATTTACACATGTGGGACTTATTTATTTCACTTAGGAGTATATCTTCAATATGTATCCATTTTCCTATGAATGAATCTATTCTCTCGCTCTTTATGGCTGAGTAATATTCCATTTTATAGAAAAACCACAACTTCTTTATCCAGTTTCCAACGGATGGGCAAATAGGTTGTTTCCAAGATTTAGCTATTACAAACTGTGCCGCTATAAACATGGGTGCACATACTTCTCTGTGATATGATTCTTTTAGTTCTCTTGGAAAGATACCCAACAGAGGGATGGCTGGGTCAAATGGAACCTCCAGTCCAAGCTCTTTGAGGTATCTCCATATTGATTTCCATAGTGGTTGCACTAGTCTGCACTCCCACCAACAATGGAGGAGGGTTCCTTTCTCCCCACAACCCCGCCAACATTTGTTATTGTGTGATTTCTTGATAGCAGCCATTCTTTGTGGGGTGAGGTGGAATCTCAGTGTTGTTTTCATCTGCATCTCTCGAATGACCAGTGATGTGGAACATTTTTTCATATATTTTCTTGCTGCTTTCACTTCTTTGTATGAGAAATGTCTGTTCATTTCGGATGCCCATTTTTGGATCGGGTCTTTATATTTGGGGGGACTGATTGTTTTGAGTTCTTTATATATCCTTGATAATAGTCCTTTGTCTGAGGTACAGCTGGTAAAAATTTTTTCCCACATTGTAGATTGTCTCTTAGTTCTGCTAATGGTTTCTTTTGAAGTACAGAAGCTTTTTAGTAAGATGAGATCCCAGTTGTTGATTCTTTCTGCTAGTTCCCGTGCTACTGAGGATTTGTTCATAAAGTCTTTTCCTATACCAATGTCTTCCAGAGTTCTGCCTAACTTACTTTCCAGCAAGTTTAATGTTTCTGTTTTAATATTTAGATCTTTAATCCATTTGGATTTTAATTTAGTGCATGGCGAAAGATAAGGGTCTAATTTTAATCTGTGACAGGTTGATATCCAGTTTTTCCAACACCATTTATTAAAGAGGCTATCTTTCCTCCACTGAGGATGGTGAGCTCCTTTGTCGAAGATGAGGTAGCTGAGTACATCTGCATTTGTTTTTGTGTCTTCCAGTCTGTTCCATTGATCCTCAGGCCTATTTCTTTGCCAGTACCATGCTGTTTTTATCACAGTGGCTTTGTAGTATAGTTTCAAATTGGGAATTGTTACACCTGGTGCCATGTGACTGTTGCCTATAATGGCTTTTGCTATTCTAGGTCTCTTGTGGTTCCAAATGAATTTTTGAATTCTTTTTTCTAGTTCTGTGAAATATAGTGTTGGAATTTCAATTGGCATTGCATTGAATGTATATAGCAGTTTTGGTAGTATGGCTATTTTCACTATGTTGATTCTTCCTACCCAGGAGCAGGGGATATCTTTCCATTTTTTTATATCCTCTTCGATTTCTTTCTTCAGAGTGCTGTAGTTTTCAGTGTAGAGATCTTTTGTTTCTTTTGTTAGATTGATTCCTAGATACTTCATTTTTTTGGCTGTGTATTTTTGATTACTCCTCACAAAGACATGAAAGAAGTCTTCCAGAGCTGCTTGGGAAAGTGGCAAGAGCGATGGAATAAGTGTGTTTGAGGAGAGGGGAAGTATTTTGTGGGGTATTCATGGCAGTGTCTTACTGCAATCTTTTTCAGTGTAGAGATCTTTTGTTTCTTTTGTTAGATTGATTCCTAGATACTTCATTTTTTTGGCATTGTATTTTTGATTACTCCTCACAAAGACATGAAAGAAGTCTTCCAGAGCTGCTTGGGAAAGTGGCAAGAGCGATGGAATAAGTGTGTTTGAGGAGAGGGGAAGTATTTTGTGGGGTATTCATGGCAGTGTGTCTTACTGCAATCTTTACAATTTAAACATTCACTGAAATGTTTTGATCACACCTCGCACTTACTGTCGGAATAATTCTCATCTGCCTCTTCCGCACTCCCCCAAGAAGCCTCCCTGTCCTCACTGCAGTCCACGGAGACTAGTCTCCATCCATGAGCACACGTCACAGTGATAATCTGTTACCAGCCGTGTGGCACATAGAGCTCAAGCTGGAGCTCTACAGCAGTCTGCAATTCCCATGGGAAAGTCAATCCAGGGACTATGTTGTTTTTCTGTTCAGATTTAATTTGTCAGCCAGCTGAGGAATTGCTTCTGGGGGTTGGAGCCAAGTCATTTGTTTCCCAGTCTTTGACATATGGTAGACCCTTAAAAAACAGGTGATAAAAAGTCTGTGCAGGGAGGTGGTAATGGGGTTATTTCAGTGCCACTTTGTGTTTCAGGCGAAGGATTCCACAATTACCATCACACCTTTCCCTTTGACTACTCCGCCAGTGAATTCGGCTTGAACTTCAACCCAACCACGTGGTTCATTGACTTCATGTGCTTGCTGGGGCTGGCCACTGACCGGAAGCGGGCGACCAAGCCCATGATCGAGGCCCGGAAGGCGAAGACTGGGGACGGCAGTGCCTGAAACTGGGACCGTGACCACCATGATCCATGAAGACAGCTGACCGGTGGCTTTTGTCACTATAGTTCTCTAGTTCATGGAACCATCGTTGGGGGTAGAAAGTATGGAAGGAATGGGATGTATCTGGTTGGAAATTTTTGTATTTGTCTCAAAATAGCATCAACTACAACTACCAGTGAAAAAACTAATTTTAAGTCAATACTAGTACTGTGATTTAACATTAGACTGTAGACATGTGATTTTTCCACTGTAGGTACAGTATGCAAAACATACATTGTCATGTGCTTGTACATGATGCTAACCCAGGCAGGATGAATATTAAATTCCTCAGTGACCCAGGAAACACTTGTTTTGTTTAAATCAGGAACAGAAAGACAGGGTAGAAGACAAAGGCGGTGGGGTGGGGCGCGACTTCAGAGTAAATGGAAAATGTTCCTGGTTGTAATTACCATGTCTGTTTGTTTAAATGAGAGAATTGAAAACCTTAAAAACTGAGGATACAGGAAACAGCTCTTGTATTTTTTTTTTACCCTGTTTGCAACTTGCCAATGTTCACTGTCTTTCTCTACCCAGCTAGCTATTTTTATGTCCTGAAACCTACACTCAGCCCACCCTATAAATCAGTACCTGTTTATGTGTTTGAGTTTATTCTCTTTGCTATTGTTGTTTCAAAGGTGTATAACTCAGCCATGCCAGCCATCAAATTAAGCTTAAATTAAGCTCTCCTTTAAATGTTTAGACAGCTAATTTGTATTCTAATTGATTGCAGGCATCGATGCATGTACTTTAGCTGCTTCTACTAAATAAGTGTATTAATTTTCCACGCGAGGCTATCAGGTCTTAATAACCGACAGTTATCTAGAACTCCATCTCCTAATGTTTTATCTGCATGAGGCCATCATTGATTTTGCAGCAAAACAGAAAGTAATCAGTACATAGAGCCTGGATAAAACAACTTCGGTGTGCTCAGTTGCCTTGTTGAATTAATGGATGGCAGGCTGGTCCTTTGTTTTCAATGTTAGAGTAAAAGAAGTGTTGGTATCAGAGTTCTTTGATGATAGATATTTTCCAGAAATTTACATTTAAAATATACATTTAAGGAAAAGAAATGATACTAATTAGAAATTGTCGTAAGGAAGTTTCTTCATACAGCTGAAGAATGTTTAACAGTGTTAATTTTGCCATTAATAATGTGTGAAGAATGAGTAATTTACAATAAATGAGTATGCATTCATTGGTGTTTGCAGCCAGATACTCGATGTGTGTTAGCTCCCAAGAGGACGTGGTGGTTTAGGGTGAGCATTTCACATGGGCTCAGGACTTCCAGAAACTCAGGGGCTAGGTCTGGCGCATCCCACCCGCGGGGTGCACGACCTCATTCCTCACTCTCCAACACTCACTCTTGCTCTGCTCTGGCTGATAGACAGGAACTTCTCCTCCTCCCTGTCACCCAACACAGCATGAAGGACACCCCCAAACTGCCAGTGGTGACCAGAAGGGCGGGAGGTGGACTCTCATTCTCAGCCCAGTCCTGAGTCTCTCATCTTTACCCCTGTACCTCCCGAGTCTTTATCCTTTGCCCCAAAGCTGCAGTGCCTTCCATCAGACAAGGACTTCCTCGCTGGCAGAGGGGGATTCCAGCCCCTGGTGAGTGCCAGACCATGGCAGAGTGTCGTTGTGTTTCAAGGTGAGCTTGAGTCAGCATGGCCTAAAGTGGCCCTGACTGGGAACGGTTGTGTGAACGTTTGATCCCCAAAAGGACTAAACGGAATTTATCTGCAAATAGAAATAATCACATTTGGAACAGCTAGTTGAAATCTCCCCATAAAGGAGGATATACCCAGCAGGTCCGTCCAGACTCTCTCTCCTCTGAACCTGACTGTTGTCTCTATCTGCAGCAGTACCTACAAATGCCTCGAGAGTGGGATGAAGGTTAGAATATTCTAAGGCCTTCCATATTAATGTTCTCTGTGGGTCTCTACAGGAGGAAAGAATCCCTGGCAGGCATTTCCCAAGCCAGTCCCAGATGGCGCCAGAGACACTGCTACATATTTTGAAAGGTTCAGGATAAGGGTGAGGGAATGGCCTCCCCACGTCCCAGATGTAATCTCAGCTCTCCTTCTGCGTTCAGAAGCACCCACCCTTGCATCTAGTCACCTCCGATAGTGTGGGTGCCATGGCGGCTGTGTGGAGCTGGGCCAGGACAGCAGAGCCAACTCAAGGGCACAAGTCCCAGGCATGCTACTGGCCAGCTGTGTGACCTTTAGAAAAATAGTTCTTGCTGGATCTGCTTTACTTATCTGCAAAGAGAGGGAATTAAACCGGACCCTGTCTAAAGTCCCCTCAGCTCTAACCTCAAGTGGTAGCAATAGGCAGGAGAATGCCCCTGACCTCACACTTGAGACAGTGCTCAAGTTAGCACCATCCTTTCTGGAATTTGGAAGGTCAAAATTGAGGAAAATACTTGAGTCTAAGTAGGGCAAGAGAGACTGAGGCTGAAGTGTAGAAAGTTTTTATAAAAGGAAAGAGGAAAAATCTAGGTATGGTGGCACATGCCTATAATTCTAGCACTCAGAGGCTGAGGCAGGAGGATCGCTGTGAGTTTGAGACCAGCCTAGGCTACATAGTGAGTTCCAGGTCAATCTCCTAAATAGTT